CTCTCTCTCTCTCTCTCTCACACACACACACACACACACACACACACCAGATTGTATGTCTTGATTAGTTGCATCTTTGTAAAATGAAACAGTTATTTAAAACGGGTGCAGGACTAAAAACATTTATTGGGGGAAAAAACCCCTACCTCTGTGCCAGGAAAAGAACCCAGGAGCAGTAGGGCAATCTCTGGCTTGCTGCTGCTGCGCTCAAATCTAGAGGGTGCATCCACATGGCAGTTTCTTCGAGTCCCAGATGTTTTGGTGTATCTGTTCCTCATGGCCCAAACACACACAATCCTTCAGCCCATTGGGCATGCAGACTGCAGAACTAGGTTCCAGTGTTGTCACGGGAGGATCCAGGAGGGAAAGAGACTGGCCTTTTTAAGAATACTTTTCCACATTCCCAGTTGTGCAACTGAAGCAAAAGAAGCTTCTGTGCAAATGTGCCCAAAGATGTCTGAATTCCTGTGTTGAGGCAAAAGCACTTAAGCACAGCTTTTGGTTTCTTCAAGTTATGGTGGCAATGTAATTTATTTTAATTCTAACTTTCTATTAGAGTGCCCTGGATATCTATTCAGTGCAGGTCTAACCTTATAATTCCATTGTGTTTTTCAATGTTTGTATATATATATACGATGGACATCATATGTTAAATCTTTTTATTTTGCTTACAGCTTTATATTCAGGTTTTAGTTGTTTGTGGGAAATGTATGTGCATGATAGATCTCAACCAATTTGGTCTTCAGGCTAGATTTTGATTTTAGTTTTACAAAGCCAGCCCTCAAAACTTTTCTAACAGCACAAGCCCACATGGACTCTGTTGCCTGCCCTTTGTAGAAAATAAGCTGCTTTTCTGTGCCAAAATGAAAACTTCCAAATACATAGCCTAGAGGTAACAGAAAGTCTGTGTTCCCAAGCAACCTGTTGCTAAGGGTTAAAATCCCATGCCACTTCAGCGCTTTTGGTAGCCAGGACTGTCAATGACAAGAATAAGGTAGCAAGAGAGGAATTTATGAGTCTGCTGTTACAGTGGAATGTAACTAGATAAGCTACATAGAAAGCACATTTTAATGCACAGTTCTAGTCATTTCAATATTTTAGTTCAAGGGGTCGCTAAAGATTGCTGTGCTGATACACACAATCCTAGCTGCAGTTCAGACAAAGAAGGATCATTCCTCGCATGGTCTGGAGCTCCAGCCTGACAGCCCCTCCCAGCCTCTCATGATATTAGGGTCCTTTCTATCCACACTGTGGACTACCTAAATGAAGTAGGGCCTCCATTTTGACCTATCCGCAACTGTACGTAAGTGCAAAGGCCTTTTCCATCCTCCATCTCGTCTCGGGGATCCAAATCTTCAGTACTTGCTACCAAATTGGAGTGACATACTCCAGATTCAGCATACCCTCTGTCCCTTTTGTGTTAGCAGCAGCATCTTGTGGTATCAGCAGTCATGAAACACGCATTGGGTACCAAGCTGCCAAGGGCTTAAAGTCTATAGTTCCGATGTGATTTCGGTATTTTGAATATTTGCATAAGAAAGACAGAAACTATAATGCCACATGTTTAATAGAAAAACTTGTATTAACAGCATGCAAATCTACCAGATCTGTTACATATCAAGTCCCTAGACAAAGATTTACTATTTACTGCATTGTAGTCCCTTTAGCAATAGTGGTCTGCACAGTTGTGTGCCAGTAGTCAATGCTGCTTCTTGAAAGGGAACAACACTTGAAACCACTTCTGAAGTTACATCAGGATGCACCTCACCTAGAGGTATAGGAGGGCTGCTCTCATGTTGAGTCAGACCCATGGAGCTCAGATCACTTTTGGATGACTGGGTGATTGCAACATACTCCAAGGTGGCCATCAAGTGTAAAAAGCTCCCAGTTGTCAATTATGGGTGCCATCCATGGACCAGCACTCCTAATTCACTGTCTTGTGAAAGCCCTGAGCCCTGAGCAGTGCCCCATAGATGTATTCTGCTGTTCTCTGGAAATTAGTCATATGCTTCAAGTAATTCATGGATTAGCTTCCCATCTTGCTACAGCAATTGCCTGCCATTTCCAGGAACTGGCCATGTTCCTAGAGAAATCCAGCCAGAGTGCTTTATTTCTTCCTTGAATGTTATTTTGAAACCATTCCTTTCTATGGGGTGAACATGTGTGTTTACATTCCCATAAACACTAGGAAGGGAAAGTAGTTTCTTAAAATACTAAGCTGCATGCACATGCATTTTCAAATTGTGGGGTTTTTGAAATGCAAAAGACTGCAACTTAGTCTAGAACTTTACCTTTGTGACACCATAAAATACACTGCTCCTGTAATGTCCTGAAACCTCAGTCCTGCACTTGGACTGCTCTGTCCTAGAAATGCTGTCTTGGTCACCTTGGAGCCAGGTGTGCATTGCGGGGGGGGGGGGGGGGTTCTGGGGGAGGGGGTTTCCCCCCCCAAAGGAGCAACGGGGGGGGGGGGGGGGGGTGCACCCTCCACCACTGGGACACCATGGCAGCAGCAGCACCGTGGCCACAGCCT